GTGTGTTAAATACAGAAATGGCACACATAACTGAGACTGCGCCTTTTAGTACGGTGCGCCTTATGGTCGTGAAAATACGGTACACTTCAACTGGAAAAAGCCCTTAGGCAGCCCAGCTGCAATCCCCCATGTGTCCACGGGGAGGAGTAGTGATTTAAAGCTGGAAAGCGGCCTGTGGGGTTGCTGTTAGAGTTTTGTGCTGTGTAGGCTGTACAGTACAAACCAGGAAAATCAAAAAGTTTTGTTTCGGGTTTCTGGAAATAAACTAATATTCTTTAGATCGGATTACTCATGATAGTTTTCATTTTCACAGCTGAACATTTGACTAAAGCAAGGGGAATTGTGGCTTGATTTTGAATGTTTACATGTAAATGTAGTGTTGATTTCTATCCTTGCCTGTTTTTTCCTGTTTATCAAAGGAGGAAAACACGCTTGAAAACAAAACAATAAACATCATTTTACTATGTCATTACTTTTTAAGTTGTTTAGGTATTCAATCATCGGGCCTATCGAAATTACTTTGTATTATGTGAGAGAAGCGCCATCTCTTGGTCTGACAATGTTTATTATCGAAAGGGTTGACTCAGAGTAGAAAAATATGCACTCCCAGGACATCAGCACATCCACTCCAGTGTCTGGAAGTTGGCAGGGATTTTGCTGGCAGTTGCAGGGAAATGGGCTGCCATTCAGCTGATGTTTCACTGCGAAGGGCCATTCTGAATTGCTGCTACTGTACATGAGGCAGACACCCTGACAATTGCTAAGGCTATTCTTAAAACATTTTTTTTTATGTAAACCTTACCGCTAGAATGGATCAGGTTGTCTTGAGGTATCTCTATAGTTATGCTGCATAAGGCTGAGACTGCTGGAGGACATAGGGAGCCCTTTTCATTATTCTGTTTCATTCTGTCTCTATTCTCCCGTTCTGCAGTATCTGTGGCTTCATTCTCTAACTTTATGCTGTCTTTACCTTTCCTCATTCTCGTAGCTTCATCTGGTCTGTTCCTGTTTTGCTGTCACCTCAACCAAGAGAGAAATAACAGCTTTGCTGCTGCCATTAACACATTTGTTTCTAGATGTTGGAGCTTGGACTGTTTTCCCAGTGTAGTCCTGCTTTCCTTGCTGTGACTAATTGTATGCGCTCTCTTTTATACTCTGACATGGGAGCTGGCTCGGAACTCGTCTGCCTGGCTGTGTGTTTCCTGGATGAGTCCACCCGTGGAGCTGGTTGATAGTTACCTTTCTTTGCTTCTTTCTGTATGTCTGTCTCTGTCTCCTTGAACCCCAGTCGGTCTCAGCAGATTGCTGCTCACACTGAGTGTGGTTCTGCTGGAGGTTTATTCCTGTTAAAAGAGATTTTTTCCTCTCCACTGTCACTACAAGCATGCTTTGTGTGAGGAATCGTTTTCCAGTCAATGAGTCGAGTAGAAAACTTTTTAACTAATCTGACTGTATGCCTTGAGATGAAATGTGTTGTAAATTGGTGCTATAAAACTAAACTGAACTGAATTTAATTTAAACATGAATGCAAGCTTAAACGTTACTTATTGAAGACTGCGTCCAGTTTATCAACACTGGAAGACAATCTTTGTTATCTCTTTTGTATTTTTTAGGACCCCTCTACCCAATTGGAGGAACAACAAGCGCTCCAGAAGATGATGGAAGCACCACAGGAATATCACTCCTTCGAACCTTTAACTATTTTGGCAAATCCTACTCTCAGATTTATGTATATTCACAATATTTCATACTTTCTGCCACTTTTGTATTTTTTTAACAAGACAAAATTCAACCCTTATTCAAAAACTTAAATAAACACCATAATCGTATTTTACTGTTATTTTACTTGCAGGTAAACCACAATGGACATTTGACCTTTGATGCACCATGGAGAAGCTATTCACCAGAACAATTTCCAATTGATCAAGGCAGAGATATCATTGCTCCTTACTGGACAGATTTAGATAATAGTAAAAGTGGTAACATCTACTATGTTCAATATACCAATGGCTCTATTCTCCAACAAGTTACCGAGGACATCAACTTGTACTTCCCAGAACTTAACTTTCATGCAAACTGGATCTTTATTGCAACATGGCATAAAGTTCCCTATTTTTCAATGACTGAAACAGTAAGGAAATATATTTCAAGTTATATTTGGAATGAAAATAAACTACATTTAATCTGCAAAATGATTCAACAAATTACTCTTTTTTTCCCCATAGCAATCAACCTTTCAGGCAGTCTTGGCTTCCAATAAGAATTATTCATTTGTGATTCTGAATTATGGGTCCCTAGCACCAAAGCCATTGTCTATACAGGTTAGAGCATTTTAGTTAAAATCTCTCTCTCTCTCTCTCTCTCTCTCTCTCTCTCTCTATATATATATATATATATATATATATATATATATATATA